TCTCATCCCTTAGAATATTGAGGACAGACCTGTGCAAATATTTATCCCAATAATATTTTTGAAAATTGTTAAAATGAAAAATCATTAGAATAAAAAATGTTTTTCCTTTATATATATGTATTGGTTTTATATATTTTGTTATTGTAGTATATATTATGTTTATACGAAATAATGTTTTAAGAAATATTCAATTGAAAACTATTTAAATTTAATATGTTTGGAGTTACTAAAAACAACTTTTTATTTGAATAATTGAATTGGAAATTATCAATAAAAATAATACTATTTTTATGTTTGGAATTATTCGAATAACTTTTACTCGAATAATGTGTTTTAGTATCTGGATGATCGATTTAAATAACGTTTTGTGTTTTGAATGATGCACAACTCTGGTGCACCGCGCCTTCAGCCTCTAACTTTGTCAAATGCGCCGGTGACGAGCCGGGAGGGTTTTTTTACATTTTTTTGCGGGGGTTGGGGAGGGGGTGGTCGGAAATCAAAATTCTCGGCGCGTCCCGGCCCATCCAATGCGATAATCGTGTGTGTATGCACAAGTACACCGTTAACACGCCGAACATGTCGAAACGGACGAGTTATAGAGTCGCGGCGCCGTGTAATCGTCGATAAACATATAAGGTCTCGGCCCTAGAAGACGGAGGCGGCGGATGAACACCAACAATAACAATAAAACGTGATATACTACCCCGGTGCCTTTTGCTCTGCACGGTGGCCCCACGCGCGCGCCCCGGGAATCAGTATAATAATATTGTCTTGTATGCGTGCAACAACATCAGCAGCCCTCGCTGCCCTCGCCTGTCCCGTGTCTCCCCCTTCGAGTGTAACGGTTATTATCGTCGCTGTAGCCTGGCCGAAACACTGCCGTGCCGGGTGGCCTCTAGCCCCAATCTCAAGACTTTGTGCGGGGGCGAGAGAAGAAATCGTCGTCTACATGCATATTGTATGTACACTGTGTGCCCTTATCGCTTTTCTCTATGTGATGTTGTTGCTCGGGATTTCCGTTGTCTATGGGAGTGTATATATTTAAAAAAAAAAAAAATAGAACAGAGCAATAAACCCGTTCGAGAATAAATCGCGAAAAGTTCGGTGCCGTTCATCGATCCGATATCCCAAAGTCGACGTTGATTTATGAACACAACGCGCCACCGTCGACTTTGCATGTGTAGTCCATTGTAAAACGACGGTTTTCGGTTTTGAGCAATTCGGTTTAGCCGAAAAAACTTGGCAAAAGCGATATCGTTTATTAGTAAAAGTTATCAATCGGGAACGGGATTGGAATGCCTACGAGATTTATTATTGTTATTTATTATAACATCTAATCGAACCAGCTATTTCCACGTTCCAAGTATAAGAGTAGTATAAGTGTTTAATTGTCTTTTTGAAAAAGTCTAAAAACCACAAAAATGATTAGATTCATCATCGTATACAAAAATTATTTTAAAATCAATATAAAAAAAAAAAGATCACTGTAAATAATTAACAACTTATTAAAAAAAAAAAATCAGTTGCAAGCTAGTGATTTGTCCAATGTCCATATCATAGTAAAAAAAAATGATGTTTAATGTTTGTTTGATATCGTTTTTAAGAAAACTAATTTGTTTGAATGGCTATGTGAATGGGTTTAACAGACTTCACTAAACCACCTGACTTAAACAAAGGGTGCACGCGAACGGTCTTTCCGGAACCTTTTAACTAAACCAACTGACGTTATATGGTTGTCGAGGGAAAGGTTTTATTGGTCATGCCAGGCGACCGGAAGACTGCAGTCAAAATCGGCTAACCACATCCTATGCCTATGGGCACAGATCGGGTGTGGGTCATGGGGTTAATTCTCGTGAAGGGGTGTTCGTTAACTTCCAACAAATCAATATGATTTAAAAAATATATATAATTTGTGTACAATTATTTAATTTTAAAGTATTATTATTTTAAAGAATAAAAACAAAATTAAATTAGTCGAAATGCTGAAGCATAGGATGTAGATTTGAAAGGGACCTGGCTTAGTTCTGTTTACTTGTAATCAGATTAATCGCCCTCGTCAGACGCATCACATAAATTACGGTATACTTAGAGAGCATAACAGACAAAATAGAATCGATAATATCTAAATGGAAATACTTCATTTGGTATCTTAAATAATTACGAATTCAGTCTATCCTATTAAAAATGACAAAGTTCAAGTAGAAATGCTATATTTAGTTTTTTAATTATATCTAATTTGTATAAGCATCGATTCGGTGATGAGGTGTTGGTTTTATATTGGTGTTTTTTTAATATAAATAGCCTAAAGATGTTTAATAATATTCTGCATATTTTTTACACTAATTATTATATGATTATAGGTTTGTTTCGACTTTTAACTATAAGCTATGTATAGTGTTTGTTATTAACATTGATTACAGAATAGAAGTTGCGACACGATTAGAAGATTAAATTATTAACTCGGATGATAAACTACCTACCCTAAAATAACTCAATCAGATTATTTTTCGTTTTAGCCAGTAGCTTAAAGGTTTGTATATAATTTGTTAATTAAATAGTTCTACACTGAGGCGTTATTCTCGTATTGTTGCATCTTTTTATTCATTAAAATGTAAAGAATTCTTCTTTGAAAGCTTTGGCTACGTTTCTTCAGTGAATTACAAAAAATTATAATTTTCATAATGACTGTAATGAATTTTTAAATTAAGCATGATACCAAAGTCTAATTAATTACAATCTCTAGCTATCTCACGGTTTTTTTTCTACTCAAAGACTTTTGGCAATTTCAAAATAATGAAACAGACTTACACTACTGTTCAAAAGTTTTAGCATATATTTTTTATTATTACTTTACCGTACAATTCGTAAAAAATATTTTAAAATATATTTTGTTTTAATACATTTTTTTTAACAAAAAATATATTCTTTTATTATATGACAAACAATAAAAATATTTATATATATATTTTTAATTTTCAAATTCTTTGAAGTAGCCTACTCGGGTTTTGACGATAACGGCGCATACTCGTTTTACTGATAGTCTTTCCAAGCATAGTACTAAACTGTCCTATTCGCACTTGTCGGACCATATGACGTATCCAACAACAGCTCAACTGCATTATAATCGAGACTCTGGGGTGGCCATACCGTGTTTTCTAATACTTTTTGTCTTTCTTTTGGTTTGAACTTAGTTCTTACAGTATGCAGAGGCATGTCTTAGATCAGTATTCTGCTGCAGAACATACCTCTTGTCACACAAGCATGTTCCAGAAGAAATGGTGTGTCGTTGGAAGATATTGTTGCATGGCAAATTCCCCGTTAACTTAACTAAATCTCCAACTACATTTCCTCAAAATCATGCCCTCGCCATCAATGGGACTACCGTGCTTAACACAAGGCTGATTACACTGTGTTGGCATGCTTTCATCCAGTTGGCGACGAATAGACGATCCAAATGATCTTAAACTTTGCATCATCGGTAAACAAAATCTTGTTCCACTCCTCTGTTGTCCGTTTTATATGTTGCCTTGCCCGTGTTAATCTTAAACGCTTAACCCTTGTTGTATGGCCTAAGTTCAAGTGGTTTTATGGCCGTTATATAATCATTTAGGCACTGTAAAATAAACGACCTTTTACGGTTGTCACTGGAACGAGGTTTACCGCGTGTATTATTTGGATCTATTAAAATGTCGCCTGCTGCTTTGGACTTAACACGCTTATTTGTAACCGTTATGTATAAATTCTTTTGTTTCGTAGAAATAAAATGAAATCGGTTTCAACGAAATATAATTTGCAAGTAGAATTTTGTTCTTACTGTAATTAAACTTTTGTAAAACTGTCAAGGAGCTTGGATATGTTTGCGATTCGAACCCCCGGCTGATCATTCTTATTACATAAACCAATAAATATTTGTGTCTGTGGCTAGACCGAATGACCTTTGCTGCTGTGAGTTATGTATTACTTAATTTCTATGGATAAAATCAGAACAACGTATTTTTTCGTAAATTTTTTTATCATAAAAGGACGAATTACAAGCTAAACGTTTTTGTAAAACGTAATAGTTTATTAATATTAATTGATTTTGCAGACGACGTGACTATTTTGAGAGGATAAAAGCCAACAGACTTATTAGGAGTTAAACTAAATGGAAAGGTTAATAATAAATAAGAATCCATTAAAACTTCCCAGAAAGCGTGTAAGACAGAGAGTGAGTTCATATAGTGATCTAAGCATTTAGGTTGAATAATAATGCAACTTTTTTATTAACTAGTAGCGTGGCTAGCGACGTTATATACATGTAAGTGAATATGAACTTAAAAGCTTTTAAAAATAAGGAAGAAAAAAAAACTAAAATTAAATTTAAGTGAGTACAGCCTACTTTTAGGTGGGGTAGAATTAAGTAGTAGTTTGAAAGTTGGCCCGATGGAGGAAAAAGCGAAAGAGAATGAGCTAAGGTTGTTTGAGTCGCGGTTTTTACATTTATAATTTTTTTTTTTAATTTTACTGTCTACTTTCTTATATCTCGAGAGGGGGAGGGTGGGATGGTAGTCCGTCACTGGACAATATATTATATGATACTATAATATGGTCTATATAATACATATTATACGAACTAGAATAATTTTTTTCATGTGTAGACACCGAGCAGATTTTGAAAAAAAGCTCTAAAGCGTAAAGCGTAGTAGAGAGCTTGTGAACTAATTGGTAGCAACGATTGTACGTAGGTACAATAATAAAAACTTCTTCTAAGGAGTGTTACAGCGTAAAGCGAATAGTTGTATCCAATAAAATTGGATTTGTTTTGGAATTGGAAATGTTTTGTACATAAAAATCTTGATCCGTACAAACAATTATACAATAATCAATTTTTTAAATGAAAAATTTTCAAATTTCCAATGCTTTCTTATTGGGACGAATAGAGCTAGCACTGTTGTCCATTGCAGTGCCGAGTGTTTATTCGCACGGTGTCTATAAGCGTAATATAATGTACTGATACTGACCGATCTGAAAAATCCGTTGATATTGTTCGAATGAACGTCAACGATGACGTTGTATATGTGCTTGTCTTTGATTTCTTTGAGCACTTGCCTGTGCGTGTTCGGGTCTACTTGCCTGATGTAGAAATCGGCTTTTGACGTTTTCATCAGGTTTTGTATCAACAGCAGACCTAAACGGAAATATATCAATTAACAATACAAAAAAAAAAAAAAAAACAGGGTCGCGACCAGGAGGTTTGTTGTATGCGCGAGGACTTTCGCAATCATTAATCAAACTCGGCAGGGAGTGTTTAATATAAAAGAGCGAAAAAGTAATAATAATATCGATACTGGCGTGACGGTGTTATTGGGACCGAGCAAATGACAAAAATCCCTTTTGCACAGACCCGACAGCCGCTGTGACGACCTACCGTCCTCGTTGTCGTAGACGATTGCGATTTTCGTCCAATTGAGAAATTCGATTAGGTCCCTGTACGCCTGCCCGAGGTGCCCGCGTGCCGGGAACATGTCGGTGACGAAGTGCCTCCTGGATAAGTCGGTACCGCGATCGGCGATCGACAACAGCAACGGCATGCTGAACGCCTCGCATATGGAAACTATGTGCCCGGCCAAGTGACTGTCGGACGGGCCGAATATCACGTGCACGCCATTTTCCAGCAACCGGCATACTGGGGAAAAAAATAAACAAAGTATTTTAACACGTGCATAATAATACAATGATATGTTTTACCGCTGTGGGTCGGTCGTATCAAGTCACAAGCTCTCGGTCACGATTTTGTCAATTTTTAAATTTGGGTACTGCAAGACGTACCTACATGCGTTGAAGTTGTCGCCGCCAGTGCAAACGTATCCAATTACATAAATTGACAATACCGTGAGCCTATGACCCGGTAAGGCCGGTATATCCGTGATTCAATGTTTTTTCCGCAGAGCGGACAAATATTAGCCAGGGTTTTACAAAACATTTTCCGGAGTTAATATTTACTATTTGAAACTTATTTCTGACAATGTCCCGGAGCAAATGAAATGTATTTGTTTTGGTAAGTTATTCGTCCCCGGACAAATCAAATCTATCCGTTTCTTAAGTTATTCGTTCCGGCATTTATTTATTTTTTACTTTAACTTTACCCCACAATATGTGTTTCTATCAAAATACCCATTATAAAATACTGAATACTCGCAAATCGTATAAGTAATTTAACCCTGGAACCGACATAAAGAATGCATAATTTTAAACAATTATAAATACAACGAATTAAGTAATAAACAATTATATTTAAAAATATACAATGTCGATGGTAAACGTATGGAAACATAAATAGTAAAGCTTTTGTAAGATGAAAAATTTTACAGTTATATTTCGTTAGAAACCGTTTTTCTAAAAAAAAAAAAGGGTTCCAAACAAAAAACTAATATTAAAGAGTTAGCCTCTCAGAATTAATACTCATTAATAATTTCACTAATTATTTTATCCACAATCAGTTCCTAACAAAACATAGTTGAACTTATCATCTTTTCAAACGTTAAGATTGTTGTAGGTCTACAGTCTTCTAGGGAAGGTCAAATAATTGAAAACATTTAAATTTCTCCTATAAAAGTGGATGTGTCGGTCTGACAAAATAAAAATACTTCTCTCGTAAAAAATAATTTCAAAAGAATATTGTTATTTGTTGAGAGGTCGGTAAAAACTTTTATGTTTTGCAAATACAGGATTTCATGAAGTTAGCAAGTTACATACATGATTTTTTTTTTAAAGAACTACGCAATATTTTTGCTCGTGAAAAGCGTTGTGCCCACTGGTTGTCATGTATAGTATTTATAATTATAATTTAATTTGTGTTTTGTGTATAAAAGTATGTTTCCTTAACTTATAAAGTCGCACACAAAAACTGTCAAACGTTAACCACTTCTACACATTTCGTTAGGTATGAAACGGCATAATAATTCAACCTTCGTTAACTGCATGACTTGTAACTAGTATATAATTTTATTTAAATTGGGAGATAAAAGGATTTTAACGAGAAATTAATCCTTCGAGTGTATATTTTACAAATTTTAATGAGTTATACAAATAAATTAAATTAAACTACCGCATTGGCCACTAAGGGCTAAACGTTTTTTTTTTTGCAAAAACTGTACAATAGCGTAAAACACAGTTTTTGGCATTTTTATGATACACCGCCGTTGCAACATTTATAGCTTTTTTATTACCACCACAATAGACAAAATGGCCTATACATATAAGAATCGTAGCATTTATCCAGCAACTGGGCATATAAAAATGTTTTAACGAATGTTGTAAATGTTTTATTGTTATTATTATTTTTAACATCAACAGATTATTTCTAGTATCAGTGGCGTCTAACATAGCCATTAACTGTACAGGGTTTCCTTAAGCTGTTTGTGACTAAAAAAAAATTCTAAAATCTTGATTGTACCATACTTGAAATACTAAATTAAAAATACACACACTATAATAATACACTACAATCATCATAACTACTAATAATAGATTTTATGAGTAGTTATACTAGTAATAGATTTATTATATTTATACTAGTTTTATGCAAATAAATATGTCAATTTATGCAAATTTATTTAAACACAATTTAAAGTTTGTTTGATTTAAATAATAATAAATAAAACAACTACGGTGTCTGAATATAATAATTCTCTTAAACAGTATACATTTTTAGGAAATAAGTATTTAGGATAAAATATGTATACGAATAATTCTTGTGAGGCATCCAGTCTTAATCTTTCATTCTTAATGTACATATCTGTTCTTTTATCATTCATTGTTTTAGTTGTTCAAGGTATTATTTTTTTTAGTTTCATTTGGTCCGTCTATTAGTAACTCTTACTACATTGTATTATTTTGTAATTACATAAAAAGTTGTATAAAAAAAAGTTTAGTATACAATGTAGAATACTTATAAATTCATATTTTACTATGCTAATATAAGATTCTTGAACATTTTTTTTTGTTATAGTTTTTAATATTTGTAACAGTGCACTATTTAAATTTCGTTCGGGTCTAAGTTTTCAGCCACTGAAGAACGTGAAAAACATTGTAATAATTTTTACCTTACCTCATTTTCATATTACGTTATAAAGATTTATATTTCTGATTTTTTTTCAAATAAAATTTGTTTTACTTTTTAAAGAATTCGGACGACATTATAACTGAAAAAAATCTTTCCTGTTTACCACCAATATTGTTAGCCCATTTAGCAATAGGCGTAACTCCAAAATAACTAATTTCACACTAAAAGAAAAAACGTTGAATTTGTTCTATATATTTTAATGACAATTGTTTACTGTTTATCACACATGCCATGGAAAAAAAAATACTGAAATATAACCATTATTATAGTTAAAGCACAGTTTTTTTTCCTTCAAATAGTGTAATATACTGAAAATTAATTTTTTTGGAGATACGTTCTTTGCTAAATAGGCTGACTATATATATATTATACTTTCTACTGGAAGCTAATTTTTGTTATCCTTTACAAATACATTGACTTTTTTTCTTTATGTTTTTTTAAGAAAAATATTTGAATATTTTATTCCCGAACCCGGATGTGATAAATAAAATAAAACATAAAGTGTATTGATTTATAGCAAATGGATATACACATATACGTTCGAATATCGCTGTCAAGTTCTACAATGAAAAATAATATTTTTTTTTTATGTAACACAACTTTTACATAACATAACATGTGCGCTTTTTAAATTGGCTGGCTATATTTCCTATGTACATTATACAATATAATATAATGTATAACAAAATTAATTAACGGCTGTAACATTTTCATAATTCATAAAAATATATTTATTGAACTATAACATTTCCTAAATAAAAAAAAAGGTTTTTTATTAATTAAGGTTTTTTTTTAAATCAAAATTCGTTGTATAAATGTCTGATTTTCAAGAGCTTTAACTAGAAGAGGACAATGGAAAATTGAACATTTTAACATTTGATATTCTGTGAAATGTTGTTTGAAGCAGTGTTGGTAAATTATAATCTGATAAATGGTTAATGATTAAATTAAATGATTGTAATCAGTAACAATATTGTTAGATTAGTACAACCTAAAAGTATTAATTACGAATTACTTTTTTTTTTAACTAGCGACAACTCTTACTATTATTATTTTGAAATATCTAACTTTTCTTAAATAAATTGGTATTGTATCTCAAATATAAAGAGGTTCGACTTTGATGTACTTACTTAATACAATATATAATACAAAGCCTTAGGAGAGTTAAAAAAAGTGTTATCATTAATCACAGCATGAGCACGATAGTACATAATGATTACAAACGTAATTAAGATGACTGTTTGCTTTAAAAAAAATATATTAAATAATTTTTGAGTGATTTAATTAATATAAATTTACCTAATAGTTGTGACTAATGAATAATTTGGTTTTGAAAATTTACAACGCTAAAGGTAAAATGAAAAAATATTAGTAATATTACTTTGGCGTACAGTTCGACTTTATTCGACCCAAGTGGGTTCGTCATTAAATTCATTTTTTCTTTGTTTTTTTATGTTTCCGAATTTGTATTATCTTATGACGAGTATTTCAAGAGCGTATGAAACACACGTTTTAAACTTATTAACTCTGGGAGTTTGAGTAAATACTAATACTAAATGATGTATAAAAATAATAATTATAAATATACTACAATAGTAACAATGGATATACAACACGTAACATTTTTTCCCCTCTAAGTACTGTTAGGACGGTATTATTGTGGTTGGCGTAAAATTTTCATTAAAATTATTACAGCGTGCAGTTATTTATTAGTGCATAGTGTAGCTACACTAATTAGGTGCCAGACAAGAGTAAAAAACCGCATAGAAATACTGCACTCGACGGTTACAACGTAAAAATCATTGTTGTTTAACGTGGGTACATATTTCGTGTGTATGTATATTTTTTTTCATCTTTAGTTTTTAGTAGTTGGCTCTTTTTTTTATTTTTATTTTGTTTGCGTTTGCATTGTCCACGTTTATTATTCGATTATAATTATTATTTATTTTCCATTACACCGTTATGCTTCAGAAATTTGTTTGTTCGGTGTGTACAAAATTATAGTTTGATGTCGTTGCTGTGCATTTTTTTTTACTCCGGTACACGCTTTGTAAAGTCGTACGCGATGGAAAAAAAAATTGTCCGATTAATATATATATATATATATATATATATATACATATGGCACAATACCGTGCAGTTAACTGTTGTTGTAAAACGGCACTAGATAGAGAAGAAAATTTGGAGCGACTCCAACCGAACAGAATTGTTTCTGGTAACAGTCGGCCGGACGTTAAACACAGATTTTTAACGAGGTCTGCCTTCTGCCTGCGAAAATGCGCCGGAAACATTTACGCCCGCCTTAACGGTTTCTCGCGTCCCGTCTAAGTATTAGATTCTGTAAAAGCTCTAAATTTTTTGCACCCCGTGCATTTTGCCCGGCCCCATAAAATCCGATTGTTTCTGCACGATGGGACACCCTCCACCAATAGGGACAACAGAAGAACCGATTCGAATAGTTTTTGTAATTGAATTTTATTTTTTGTCAAGCGGTAACGGTTGGCCGAGAACCGGGCGTACGTCTACCATATGTACCTAACCTAAGGTATGGCAATGATCTG